AGAGAGAGAGAGAGAGAGAGAGAGAGTGAGAGAGTGAGAGAGAGAGAGAAGGAGGGAGAGGTGAGAGATGAGACGAGAGAGAGAGCAGAGGAGGTGCGGGAGCGGAGAGGCAGGAGAGATAGTGGATAGAGGAGAGAGAGAGAGAGAGAGAGAGAGAGAGAAAGAGAGAGAGAGTTGACTTTGCACTTGCATGCATACCTGAAGACTATTCGAGTGCCGTGGCTGATGGTGCTGCTCGGCGACACGGCGGCATTGTGATCGTAGAACGCGCCGTCGCTCGACGTCGGCACCTTGCACGAGCCTACAACACACGAAGCAGTGCGTCGCCATCTCACACCAACATCTCGGCACAGAGAACGGGGCTGAACGGGCGTGTATGTCGGCTGCGCGACGACGCCGACGTTATTCGTCAGCCCGGCGCCATATTGATTACGCCACGGCTGCGACGATGACGTTGGCGATGGGGCCGCAAATACGGTCGAGATAGGTAAATAGATGGTGCAAACACGCGCGACCGCAGAACAAGCAGCGGGATCGTGTTAGTTGAGCCACGCGTGTCGTGCTGAAGTTACGGCGTTGTATAGCAGCGGCAAGGGGGATTACAGCATCGCGCCATCCGCGACGAAAACGGCGCCGACGCGCAATATCGGCTGCCATGTTGGTATGCGACTCACGCGGTCGGCAGTAGGGCTTCTGAGGTTTCCATTTGCCGTTCTCGCACACCGCAGTTGGGTTATCGTTACTGAGAGTGTAGTCGGGCATCGTGCATTCGACCTGCACCCTCGTGCCATGCTTCATCACTCGCTTCGTGTCGACCACCTTTCCCGTATCTAGCACGGTGACGCGCGTAAACTCATTGTTGATCTCGGGGCAGTCTATCGGTATGGATGAAACTCGTGTTAGTATAGAAGATTAGCTAAACGCTTTAATTATTAAACGAACGGAAGCATATTAAATAATTGCGATCGTTAGTGGGAGGATGAATGAATGAATACGGCAAGCAATAGCTAGCCATATGTATGTCGACTTATTGCAACATGCGCCGCATACAACAAAGAACAGCAGCAGTTTAGTGGTAATCTAGGCGAGCGACGGAACGAAGACGTCGAAACAAAAGCAGAGATAGAAACAAAAGCGGACAGCAGAGCGCGCAAAATTGACGCAAAGCCGAGAAACGAGATGAAAGACAAAACCCCGGCGGGTAGAAAGTATACCGCGGAGCTACGCGCTCACATCATACTTACCGTCCGCATCGCCCAACGTCGACTCGTTGTCTTCTATCTCCAGCAAACTCGCCTCTGTAAAATGCAGGCATAGGCAGCATATGAAACATACGGCCCGGCAACGAAGGCAGCACCAACATTATCTTCCGAATGAATTGCGAGCGCAATCCAATCGGGAAAATCGAACGGCTGCTTCTCGGAGGCCAATTAACGTATGAGACCGTCGCATATGTTAATGTAATCAACGTTAGCGAGTCGGCGCAGAATTGACACTGGTAAAAAAAGTGGACGGCAGTAAGAAAGGCACCTGCTGTACCGCGTTTATTAATGACTCGCGTTTCTTGTCGCTGTTCTGCTGCAAACAGCCTCAATCGAATGCTCACGCACTCAATCATTCTTAGGCGATAAGAAACACGTTAAGTAAGACGTTCGGACGCTATCTCCGTCCGCATAGAATGAATGACAATCGTAAATGTTTTTGAAGCTACTAGATTAGTTACGTAACTGTTTAAATACTGATATACTATTTGAACATGAGACCATAGTAGATCACTACGACGATGCACAGCTAGGTATGTAATGATATGTACTACCTATGAAACTACCTATGCAACTACCCATGTAATAATTTCAGACAAACTCACACACGCGCGCACGCACACGCACACATACACCCGCGCACACGCCCACGCACACATGCATGTGAGTGGGTCTGCATGCTATACAGAACAACTGCTACAACAGCTCACGAAGCATCGTCTCCTCATCTCAACTACTCATTCACAGAAAGAACGTCGCCCACCTGGTTCGCAGACGGGCATCTTTCGTGGCCTCCACTCGCCATGGACGCAGGTGGCGCCAGGGGGTCCATTCTTCACTTTGTAGCTCTTGTTGCAGGCGTAGCGGATCTGCTTGCCCTGGATGACCGTCTTGCGGATGTAGCTGCGGTAGTCGTACTCGCCCATGTTGCCCACCAAGTAGATCTTGCCGTTGGCAAGCACTCCAGGCCACTTGCAGTAAACTGCACAACGAGTTATAAGCGTTTATGCCAAGCATCGTGACGCGATATAATAGGCACAGAGACACAGACGGACGTACGCAGAGACAGCCAGAGGTAGACGGAATGATGCCCCCCCACCCCCCACACACACACTCACACCACACGCACACGCACACGCAC